AGTCTATGGATTTCCTTTTGAGTAAAATGTTTTTCCTGTACACAGCATATTGTTTGATTTTGTTTTTTAATCCAGTCTGTCAGTCTGTTTCTTTTCACTGGAGAATTGAGACCATTTATATTTATAGTTATAACTGATATATGTTGATTTATTATTGTCATGTTATTTACTTGTATTGGTTTCCTACTTTTTCTACCTGTTTACTTGCTTGCTCTTCTTTTTTTTTTTTGGTTTTTCTCCGGTACTGGGAACCGAACTCATGACCTTGCGATTGCCAGGCAGGCGCTTTGCTGCTGAGCTAAATCCCCAGCCCCTTGCTTGCTCTTCTTGACTTTTCCTTTCTACTGTTGTTCTTGAAATTGCAATTAAGAGTTTTCTCTGTCTAGAATATCTTTTAGTACTCTTTGTAGTGCTGGTTTGGCACTCATGAAGTTCTTCAATTGTTCTTTGTTGTAGAAATATTTTATTTCTCCGTTGAATTTGAGGGATAGTTTGGCAGGGTACATCAGTTGGTTGGAAGATGTTTTGTGTCAGGACCTGTAATACTTTGCTCCAAGCTCTTCTCAATTGGATGGTTTGTGCTGAGAAGTCTGTTGTGATTCTGATGGGCTTTCCTTTATAGGTAATCTGTTTCTTTTCTCTAGCAGCTTTTAATATTCTGTTCTTTTGCTGGAGATCTGGGAACCTGACTATTATATGTCTGGGTGTAGTTTTATTTTGGTTGTGGTTGTTTGGAGTTCTACATGCCTCATTTGCCTGTATATCAGGTTCTGTTTCCATACTTGGGAAATTTTCTGCTATTATTTCTGCAAATATTCTTTTTATGTTAGTTGTGTTGCCTTCTGCTATTTCATTGACTCCTATAAATTGTACATTATTTCTCTTTGCCTCATCTTGCAGCTGTTGAATTGACTTTTCCTGGATCCTTGTTGATTTCACAAGATCCTTTCTTTCACGGTCGCTAGCTGCCATGCTATCTTTAAAGTCTGAGATTCTATCTTCTGCTTCATTGAAGTGGTTTTGGCAGCTTTCCATGGAAGCTTTGTTTTCCTGGAAGTCTCCTTGAATCTGGTTCATGCATTCTAAGTCCTTTCTATATTTTTCATTTAATGCTTCAGTCCATTGCCTTTGTTCTTCTATTTTCTTATATGTCTCTTCTTCAGACTTTTTGAGCAGTTCTTTCATTATTATTGTCATTTCATTTTTTGCCTGAGAGATTATTTCTGATCTCATCTCTTCTATGGCCTTATGGAGTTGTTTCTCTACTTCCATTGCAATCATTTCAGCTATTTCAGGCATGTGTTTACCAAGTTCTCCTATGTTGATGTCTCCTGGACTTGTTCTGAGTGGGGTGGAGTTCTGGGATTGTGTTTTAATCCTTCGTTTTATCAGGTTTGATACCGGATGCAGAAAGCTCAGTTTCCCTCTTCCGTGGCTGCACAAAAAAGGTACACTAGTGTCCCTAGTTTTCCTGCTGGTCAGATTTGCCCCACAGTCACCCCTGAGAAGCACTACTTAGTCTCGGGTTTTCTGGCAGTTGTTGATTTGTATCTAGTTATCCCAAGTCTCAGACGGGGGCATTGGTGTCAGCTGATGGCAGACCATCTGATCCAGCGTCCCCTTGCAGTTCAGGGCACATGCATGGCCCAGACTCGGATTGCACTGGTGTGACAATCCTGGTCCAGTGGGCCTATGTCCCCAGGCAGTTCAGGGTACAGGCAAAACCCAGACACAAACTGCAGGGTCGACAATTTGTGAACCACCTGATTCTGTGTCTCCAGTCAGTTCTGGACGCATCAGGAACCAGATGCAGGCCAGACAGGCAGCAATCACAGACTGCCCTTGCCTGCGACCCCCTAGGGGGTCTGGGCGCAAGTAAAGCACAGACTCAAACCGCTGGACCAGCAGCTTTTTGATCACTCGCTCACTCGGCACAGGGCACGCACAGGGAGGGGCCACACACACACCCCCAGCTAGAGCCATCCCTGGGGCTTCTGAGTGAGGATTTCCTGTCTGCTGCGAGTGCATGGAGGGCAGAGACTCAGACTGTAATGGTGGTGGGTTCCTGCGTCACCCGCTCTGCCCTCAGGAAGTAGATGGGAAATACCTGGCTCTCTCTGTGAGTTTCAGCTGGGAACCCCAGCAGTGGGAGCGGGTCACAGGCTGCCTGGTTCTGCTTCTTAGTCAGTTCAGGGTGTGCGCAGGAGCCAGACCTGGACCACTCAAAGAGCAATGGCCTATCTTTTCCTTCTTAATGGAAGTCCAATATTAATCATGCACTTGCTTATAATTCTTCCAACAATGGAAAAAGATTTATTTCTTTTTTTACTTTAAAACAAGAGACTGTATATCCTCTAGGACTTGTGTGCTTCCATATAACTACAGAGGTATATTGGATATGGGTCTAATAAGACCGATGATTGTAGGGGCCAATGATTTTAGGGGCTTGCAGTTTCCACATGTGCCCAAAGCCAGGTAAAGGCCGTATAACCCAGCATGGTTATACAAACCACAAGCTCATAGTGCACCACATGGCAGAAAATCCAGACTTCAGGTTACACCAAACAGTTTCAAGGCACAGGTCATGTGTGGAGAGACAGGCACAGATCAGGCAATGCTGGCTGAAGCAGCAGCCCAGCCCTTCCTCTTATTATCTAACCTCCAGTTAGATAATAACCTCCAGTTAGATAATAACCTCCAGTAGGTTACTGTGCCCCTGCAAAGCTCTTTTATGTTTTTATTCCATCTTTAAAACAGAGAATGAAAAGTACCTCCAAAGATTGCTATAAGAGTAAAATGAAGTAGTTGGGATTCAGCATAGTATCTGGAATATGATCATTTCCTCAGAAATGTTAGCTGTTATCACAGATACCATCATATTATCATTACTGTTACTAATGTAACTAAGGATAAAAGCATCTCCAAAAATGTAAAGGCCCTGTGGAAAAGGAAGTATACAGCTGCTCTCAACTTCCTGGAGTTCATGAGAAAAAACAATACAGCCCATAAGATATGTTATGCTACCTTTTTCCTAGATCAGAGTCTGTTGAAGTCCTTGATAGAAGGAACCCTAACCATAGGGGAGTGAGAAACTATTCCCTAGAGGTACCTCCCCATGGGTCCAGCTCTTCAGTATTTAATCTTAGAAATTCATTCCATCATCTATTAATTTTTGTTATCACCACTATTACCATAGGAAACATAGTGGTACTTATCTCAAGAGACTATTGTGATGTTCTATATACATTAACTCCTTTAATATTCACAAAAAGTCTATGGAGGTAGGTACTATCACTAATGCATACTAAAGATAAGGAAACATGAAGTAACTTCTCCAAGATCACCAGCTAAAAACTGCTGGAACTGGCACATCACTGTGGGTAGCCTGGCTCCAGAACACAGGATCTATCACATGCCACCTCTCTGAGATAAAATATCACACCAAGCAGTTATGCCCCCATCAGATGGGTCATGTTTATTTTGAGGCTTCTGGCACACAGCCACCCCCTCTCATGGTCCACGTGAGGGGAACTGCCTGAGACCCTAGAGCTTTATTCAGGTTTCTACAGTAAGACAGCTTCACCAAGGACAAATGCCCACAGCACTCATGTGGCTAACTGAGCTCAAACCAATGATGAGTTGGCCGCTGCTAGATGATTAAAAATCTACTAAAAATTAAACTAAACTGTACTTAGAGAAGACCTTTTCTAAAGTAGCTTTTCAGCAGGGGATTTTATTTTCTTCTTGACAATTCCCTTAATGGCAAGCAACACTTTATGTTAGAAGCAGAAAAGAGACCAAGGGCAAAGAACTAAATATTTTCACTGAGGTGGGGACAGAGTGGGAAGAAAAGAGGAAAATCAAACAGGCAACAGTGAAAATGCACCCCTCTTTTATTCCTAAATAATGATCCAGTGCTGCCCACCCCAATCTCTCTCTGCCTTCTTCTCCAGGGGCACTAACAGTAGCCGAGAGCTCATGAAAGTTTAAAAAGACTGATCAATATGGACAGAATGGTGAATTGTCCATCTGCAAATTACCAAGCACTTCATGTATATTTAAGGAACTAAACTAGGAACTGGGAGAAAAGACAATCCAGGACTTTAGTTTTTCTCTCTCAAAAAAAAAAAAAAAAAAAAAAAGATGTGTATTGTTTCTACTCACCAGAAAATAAAGTCAAACTGAAAAATGAAATTTTAAATATGAATAAATATTATCCAGCACCCCTTCCTTCCCCCAGCCAGCATGCTGCATCCGATCCAAGGCCTCTAAAGAGGAACACCTGCCTAGCACATACTGGACATGCTCTAGTTTGACCCAACTTCCTCGCTTTCTCTGAGCACACCACATTTTCAAGTCACCATACAGTTCTTCACTTGTCTACTCAGGAAGCAGGAGAGTCATTGTTGGTAAAAGCACAGCTCTGGAGCCAGACTACTTGGGTTCCAGTCCTACCCCTGCTACTTACTGACTATATGAACATAACTTTATCAATTTCTTTCTGAATAAGAATAAAGTGAGGTTGTAACAGTACTCCCTTTAGGGCCGTTGTGAAGACCCAACTACATAGTGCGTGTTAACATGTTTTACATAGAGTAACGGCACAGTAGATGTGAGCAAGGATGTTCAGCATCCTCATCCACATCTCAAGCTTCTGCATCCTGCATCCTGTCTTCCCTAAGCCCCCTTAGAATTAGCTTCAGCAAGGGGCTGGGGATTTAGCTCAGCAGCACAGTGCCTGCCTGGCAAGCACAAGGTCATGAGTTTGATTCCCAGTACCAGAAAAAAAAAAAAAGAAGAATTAGCTTCAGCAATATTTACTTGATTCCTAGCACCTATCACATCACACTGCAGCTGTTTGTCAGCCTCCACAACTCTGTGATCTACTGAAATGCAAGGCCTCTGGGTCACTCTGCATCTCAAGTTACCCCACACAGTCCACTGTTCCAGGTGGACAGGTGCAAACACTCAGCAGGTGGGAGTGTGAGTTTTGCCCATACCTTTGTGACAACACAGCAAGCAGCCCAGATATCTTCAGAGGACTGTTCATGGTGGTTGAACTGAGGCTCCCATTTGGTAATAGGCTGGTCTGCAAAAGCCAAGAGCAGCCCTCTCTGGTCCACCAGAGCCGCACGGACACTGCCTGTTCCAACATCCACACCCACATAGTAGCTGCTTGGCTCCTGCTCATCACCAGACATGACAGTCCTTCCACCTATGGTAAGCAAGAGCAAAAATCATGTGAAGAACAGAGGATCTGCAAAGACAGTCACAAAACATTTCAGAAATGGAAAAAAGAAGGAGTGCAGCTACCCAACAATTGGCCACTTGTTACTGATTTATCCAATAAAAGATTTTACATGCACTCAGCAGGTGGCTGGTGAACAAGAGAGATATGACATCAGATACAGGACCTCCATTCTTGGGAGTCAGCTTCAAGTATTTAGTTACATAACTAAACAAGCTGTGATGAGTACGATAAGAGCAATTAAAGGGTGGTAGGACATCACAGAATCTGGAAGCAAAGAGATGTATTTTTTCTTACCACCCTCAAATCAACAGGACAGTAGTCATAACAAGCAAAAGGAATCTCATCCTCCCTGTCAGTAATGCATTCAATAAATTAGTTACCATCACCTATTTTGTGCCAGCAGTGTAAAAGAACACATATATCCTCTACTCCTCATGTAAGTCTACAAGACGAGTATATTTAAGTCTCTATTATACAAGTGATCAAAGTGAGACTCCAAGAAGTACCTTTGTGTTTCATGCTAGGTTTGTACACTCATAAACAGGAAATGCACATTATTATATGAACGCATTATGCTGATGAGAAAATAGGCTGAGAAATGAAAGAGCCTTACTCGGAGGCTCTTTCAACACTTAGCTGTGCAATCCCAAATATTCTTAGGTTCTTTAATTTCTTTCTTAAAACTTGCGGGTAAGTTTAAGAAAGAGGAAATATATTGCAGCAGTGTCATGAAGTGACTAGGATTGGGAAGGAGCCCCAGAGGACACATGATCAGGAATTTGTCAATCTGTTTTCCTTCCAGACTCTTGGTGACTTAAAAGGAAATCTGACCAGAGAACACTTAGGAATTTTTTGGCTCTTGTGGCTGCTCTAATTCCCTTTGGTCAGATTAACCCACATGACTCAGAAATCTCAGAGGCTCTTATTCTCCAGACTGCCTTTTTCACAGACAGAACAGACACTTGAGACAACCACACCAGTGCATAGGATACAACTCCCCGGGTGAACTAAGGGCATTCCTGGCACCCAGAGTCCAATTCAACCAGAACAACTTCTTCATCCTTCAACTTTAGTCACTTGGGGATTTTATAAAACTAAAATCAACCAGCAGATGTTCAGTTACTGTTTCCTGGATGTTTATCTCAATTAAAAAGAAAAACTTCAAAGCTGTGGTATGGTGGCACATGCCTATAATCCCAGCACTCTGGAGGCTGCAGCACAAGGATATCTCAGGTTCAAGGCCAGCACAGGCTATATAGTGAGTTCAAGGCCAGCCTGAACTGCATAGCATGACTATGTCTCAAAAAACCAAAATAATATTTTAAAAAATAAAAAAAAACCTTCATTCACAGTGATTGCTTCTGACTTAACCACAACAATTTCTCTACTGTGTTTTTCTCCCCTTTGGCTCCACAGATCCCTGGCAGGTGTAGAAGAAAAAGAGGAAGGTATAATGTCAACCTTTACTATCTTCACCCAGGCTGAAAGACAACCCATCAGCCCCAGCCCTTGAAAAGCACTCAGTTTTGGCCCTTGAGAACCTCCATGTGACCAAGAGCATTGTGTATTCTTTTAATCACAGAGATACCTTTTGTCAAGCCCATACTTGATGACAATTTAAATACAATAGATAAAAGAGGTGCTATTCAGTTTGAAACAAAGATCACCATTGCCCACCCTCCACCCTTCTGCCTGCAGTCCCTCTGCTGGATTCTTTCTCAGAACAACAGAACACCACTGGTTTGGGGTATGACCAGACCTGAGTCCCTGAGTACACCATACTACCTCCCCAGGAGCTTCCTCCCAGCAATCGACAGTCCTGCGTGCCCTTCTGGTCTGAGGTCCAGACACACATGGTTCCCACAGGGCACAGGAGCTGGCTCTGAGCAGGTCTCTTTTTTAACTCTTCTCCCCCACCCCAACTCTTTCCTTTCCTGGCTGTCTGATGATTGTGGACATACACTTAAAGACCCAGCCAGCCGCCACCACTTTGAGGGAAAATATCCCTTCCTTTCTCTGTTCTTTCCAAAGTACTACGTCCCTCTCTTTTAAAGCTTGCCACTGTGGGTACACCAAGGACTAAGCCACCATATTCACCCTAGGCAACTCAGCACTTCTGCCCTGGCCAAGTCACCCACCAACTCTAAGCCTACTCTGTGCCTTTGTCTCCCCTCAGCAAGATGTACCAGAGGTACTGATCAACAAATCAACCATCAAGGCCAAAGCCCAGGGAAAGAAGGTAACCCAAGAGGGTCTGCAAGACCAGGGAAAAATGACAAACGCGGCCAGCAATACTAACCCAAGAAAACACTCACCCAAGAAAAGTCCACAGCTATTATAAACTACAAAATACAACCTGGGGCCAGGCGTGGTGGTGCACACCTATAATGCTGCACTTGGAAGGTTGGGGCAGGAGTACTGTCTTGAATTTGAGGCCAGCATGAGCTACACAGTAAATTCAAAGCCAATCTGAACTACACAGTAAACCCCTGTCTCAAAAAATAAAACACAGGAAAAAACAAACATAAAAAAAGTGCAGTATGGGGTTTTACTCCAAAAGTATCTCCTTCACAGCACAGAAGGGTAAGTAAAGAAATCCAGAGCAGTGCCTGCAATATTGGAGAGGGTTAAATCAGGAGCCATTCTGAGAAAGGGTCAAGGAAGGAGGGAGGGAGAGAGGGGCGGAGGGAAGGATGGAGGGAGGGAGGGAAGGAAAGAAGGGAG